GATTATGCCTAGCCATAATCTCAAAACATTTTTCCAGGTCTTGAGCGTGTGTGTTGGCTGTCCTGCTTTTCACCAGCATATCATCGACATAGGCCTCCATGGTCCGTCCAAGTAAAGGCCTGAACAATTTGTTGACCATCCTCTGGTAGGTCGCCCCTGAGTTTTTCAACCCAAAGGCCATCACCTTGTAACAGTATGTGCCGTCCGGGGTGAGGAAGGCCGTCTTCTCCTCATCATCCTCCACCATGAAGATTTGATGATACCCCTTGAAGGCATCCATAAAGCTGAGCAACTCACACCCGGCAGTTTCATCCACCATTTGATCCGGGCTGGGCAGAGGGTAAGAGTCCATCGGGCATGCCTTGTTGAGGTCTGTGTAGTCCACGCACATCCTCCAAGTATCACCCTTCGGGGCCAGGACAACATTGGCCAGCCATTCAGGGTAGTTTACTTCCCTGATATGACCTACCTCAAGTAGGTCCTTGACCTCTTTCTTCACAAAGTCCCTCCTATCATTTGCCAGGAATCTCTTCTTCTATCTTATAGGCCTAGACCCCTCAAGAACAGAGAGACGATGGCAAATGACTGACCGGTCAATTCCGGGCATATCAGCAACACTCCAGGCAAATAATGATTTATACCTGGTCAACACCTGGACAATCTCAGTCCTTAGCTCTTCCTGAAGATCAGCCCCAATTTTAACCTTCCTCTCAGGATTGGAGGCATCGATCTGGATCTCTTCCGTGTTTGCATCTAGCTCGATCCTAGCCTTCTCCTCACCCTTGTCTACCTGCTGGGAGACCAATTCAATTTGTTCGAACTGGCGGGTCATCTTCTTGACTGCTTCCAGGTAGCAGGACCGGGCGTTCTTTTGATCACCCCTTTCCTCCCCGATTCCATTGGGAGTGTAAAACTTCATGCATAAGTGGGCCATAGAAATGATAGCCCTGACCTGGTTGATTCCAGGTCTACCAAGAATGGCATTATGTACACACTTGATATCAACCACAACAAATCTCATTTGCTTGGTTACTATTTTGTTACCCGACCCCAAGGTAACTGGTAAGGTGATCTGACCTTCCGCTTCTATGCTGGCTCCAGTGAAGCCTGACAATGGGGTTTGCAATGGCCTCAGCATGGACCTGTCCAACTTCAATTTCTTGAAAGCATCCAAGTATAAAACATTGACACTGCTTCCTGTGTCAACCAGGACCCTAGCCACATCAGCCCCGTTGATGTCCATTGTAATGACCAAAGGGTCATTATGATCTCCCCCCGTCC